TTTCAGGGTCTGCTAGGTGCGAACGGACCAGCAAATAACAACGACGGTGCCTTAGATTGAACCTCGAGCCACACGCCGCAGGCGACGGTTCCTCAACAGAATTGGACGGCGGTGAGGGAGTTCTCTGCGAATTCCATTCAGGAGAAATTGCCTGGGCGCGGAACCCCAGGGCCGCGAGAGCTAATCCGCATGAGGCTCTAGAGCGGTGGCACTACTTACCGGGGCTCTCCTATTCTGTTGCCGCGGCGTGTACGGAGTATCCGTACTGTGCATGCCCCAGGGGGTCTGCCTAGATATGGCGAGATTGGTGTGTACGGAGCAATTGAGTTTATACGGCACGTCAATGGGACAGTTACTCGCGTCTCTGAAGTCAATTGACTTTCTTACTGCTTATTTGGACTGCAGCATGGAGTTGTTACTGTTGTGGGTCAGCACCATCCCATCAATGCCATCTATCTGCACTCTACTGGGAGTTGCCGTTATTGCAGTCGGGGTCTCCAACGCTCCATCCGTCTTCGACTTGTCGTTGTACCAACTAATCTGCTGTTTAGTATCTTGCCAACCACCACCGCAACCAACAACGGTTAATGTGCGAGCTTAATGGGCATCCCTGTCTGACGATGTCTCCTTCTAGCCTCGCTGCCCAGTCTAGCCCTCGCCGTTCTCTGGCTCTCCACCAATCGCAGGCTCCTCGGCATCAAGAAAGGGGAAGAAGCACGCTCTCAGCCGTGGCCCCCGCTAAACCCGTTCGCCTCTCACGGGGGTGTGCGTGCACCACCACACCTCCTACATCTTTGAGCGTTCCGCCCTCATTCTTCTCCTTCCCTCCTCACCTCTTACGCTCCACACACACTCTTTACACCTTCGCGCAACCCGACCCGAGTCACTCCTTTAACTCGTTATTTTAAAACCCATATATTTTTTACAGACCCAATACTTAATCTTTTAATTTTAACCCTCCAAAAACCGTCAACATGCGTTTTTTCTCCACCGTCGCCACTATCGCCGCTGCCGTTGCTGGTCTTGCCGGACTCGCTCACGCTGCTGAGGGAACCACCGACACCGCCAACCCCATCCGCGCGCCCCTCGGCGACACCACCGTCAAGGCTGGTGAGGGCTACACCATCACCTGGTCGCCCAACGCCGGTTCGCAGGTCTCTTTGGTTCTGCGAAAGGGCCAGGCCGGTTCCCTCGACACCCTCGAGGTCATTGCCGGTTTGTTATATCCACATCTCTTCTTTGTACCAAATTCTAACTCCCCACAGACAAGCTCCCCAACAACGGTGCCTTCCTCTGGGTCCCCTCCAAGGAGCTCGAGGGCGCCGATGATTACGCCATCCAGATCGTGTCCGAGGACCCGCTGACGTCCAACTACTCGCCCAAGTTCAAGATCGACTCCAAGGGCCGCGGACTGCCCAAGTCCACCACCCTCGAGCCCTCGACCACCCGCTCCGCCTCCATCACCATCAAGCCCACCGCAACCTACACCGGAACTGCATCCAAGCCCACCGCCACCGAGGACCTGAGCGTCATCGACGACGTCGAGGGCGCCGCATCTGACTTTGGCCGTGAGGCCAGCCGCTTCGGACTCATGGCCGCCGTCGGCGCCATGATCGGTGGGTTCTTGATATAAGCTGTCGTGGCTTTGTGCGTGGAAAGGGGGAACGGGACGGAGTTGTGTGTTGTCTGTCTACTGTACTATATTTTTTTGGACACTGTATGTGGGGTGATGATACCCGTCGGCCAAAAGCATGCGCCAATTTTCATGGATCAATTAAAAGGGCGTGTTTGTGTGTGTAATTGTTTGTGCCGCTGCTGTGCGCGTGATGTGATACCGTGATACCCAGTGTGTGGAGGCGAGCGAAGTGAGGGTGTGGTGGCGGCTTATGTGCGTTCTCGACAAACCCCCTCGCGTTTACCTATTGGTCAATTGTGCATGAATTGTTTGCGCCTCTTCGTATTGGTGACCACCATCTCCACCGATTTATCGAAGATTATTGTAGAAACCACCTCGTGTGTTATCATTATCGCATATCTCTTGAGAACACTATGATAATATCAGCCCAAACTCGATATCGTATTTATCGACTGCAGCATAATTATGTACCCAAACTGCCAGCCCCCAAATCCACATTAATCTCATTCCTTGTATCAATGGCTTGCCCTGCGTCTCCTATGCCCACCATCCACCACCCACCATCCTCAATCCTCCCCCCTCCATCCCATCCTCAACACATCAAACAATCACATCGACCCATCGACCCACCGCTCGCCCACCGCCCGCCTACGTGCATCACCCCGTCGACCCGCGGACGTCCCTGCGCCGTTCATCCGCTGAATCCAGCAATCCCGTTACCGTACCACCATAAAGTAATCTATATCGGCACCTATCCGCACTGCACCCTCCCACCCCGATTCGCCGTTGAGCGCTGTTGCCGTTTGAGCGCTGTTGCCGTGCTATGGATATGGGGTGGGGTCAGGTCAGCGTGTACCTGACTGGTAATCTATTCTGTTGCGACCCGGTGCGGGTGAGTGCTGGCCGCGGTGGACGGTGGGCGGGGTCATGGGTACTCGTTCGTTCGTCGTGGGCGGTGTGGTGTGGTGTGACGTTTTGATTGCGGTTCTTGGACGACGTGGTTTATGGGTATGATGGGGTATCTATAAGTTGTAGTAGAGTATGGAATCGGATGAGGTGAGAGGGGGAATGGCGCGCGCGTTGTGGCGTATTATGTCAGTCCCGCACCATGCCTCCTATTACATCAGCTAGCTAGCGAGGAGGGGGCGATCGGATATGCGGCGAGATGGGGCGAGTAGCGAGAGGGTGGTGAGAGGGCAGAGTGAGTAAGGTGATTGAATAGTGGTGTGAAGAATTTAAGGATTGGGCGAGTGATGGTGTGTGGATCGATATACAAGCCTGCCGCGATGGTGAGGTAATGGGTCCACAGCCATGCGGTTCTGGCACATCATATAGTAAATATGAAGGCATAATATAGCTGGGTTGCGCGGCGGAGGGACTTCATGGGCTTGCAAGCGGCAGAAATGGAGTTTGAATACACGACATGGGTATCCATACACATGCCTGTCGCAATGGTGAGGAACTGAACCCCCAGCTGTGCGGTTCTGACACATCATAGACTGCCTAGGTATAGGTAATGTGCCCAAATTTCACGATGGTGGCCCTTCATGAGCTTCGAAGCGGCAGAGATAGATTTCGATTGGTATGTGTAGCCGTACAAAGGCCTACCGCAATGACGAGGCATTGGACCCACGGATATGCGGGTGTGATATATCCTAGATCTGAAGGTTCTGTTTGAGAGGAGCTGGCTTACACGGAGGGGGCAAGAGTTGCGCCTCGAAGCGGCATAGACTTGGGTTAGACGAGTGACGAGTTGCATTGAAAGTTCACTGGACTGCATCCAATATAGCCTTGGGCACTGAATTGAGATGTAATCGAAATCTATTTGAGCTAAAGGGTAGCTGAAGCAAAGGGGGGAAGGGTGGATAAAGTTATTGAAGCGATGTGAGGAATCAAAGAGTCGGTCGAGTGATCGTAGGTGTATCCACACATAAGCCTGCCGCGATGACAAGGTAATGGGCCCACTGCAGTGCGGTTCTGCCACATCGCGGACTACGTAGATAGGATCAGTATGGCAGAGTTGCAAGAAGGGGGGTCTGCATGTTCTCGTAAGCGGCAGAGATAAATTTTGCGATCACAAGATGTGTGTATCGATACCCAAGTATGCCGCAAAGATGAGGTATTGGACCCGCAGCTGTGCGGTTCTGGTATATCGTGCCTACGATAGTCCTGGCTGCGAGGACTTGGGTAGACTGGTGGGGGGTTTCGGCTTGAAGCGGCACCATAGACGGGGATTTCGACGTACGTATATTGAAATTTGAAAGTTGACTGCAAAGTTCTTGGGCCAACACAGCCTTGGAAACCTCATACTCACAGCATCTCTACGGTCTCAATCTAGCCCCCCCCATTAGCTGTCCATAAAACCTAAGAGAATCGACCCTCGTCCCTCGGGCGAGTGATGATGGGTACATCGATACAAAAACCTGCCGCGATGATGCGGAACTGACCCCGCAGCGATGCGTTTGCGAGATAGCGTAGCTCTGATAGGGCTAGTTGAAATATGTTGGGTAGAAGGTAGAGCGGCATTTGGCGCCTGAAAGCGGCAGAGTCTCAGAGATCGAGTTTGACAGCAGATACACAGGATGGTGTTAATTAAAGCGGACTACAAAGTTCTTCCAAAATAACTGTAGCTCGACAGCGAGAAGCTGTTGGTAGATAACCAGTTAGTGGGACCTACCTTAAGGTCCGATTTTTTGTGCGTCCGTCACGATTGCGTGTAATATGGGGTTCGATATATTCACATTCACATTCACATTCACAATCACGACCCCTGATAGAGCAGATACCTCACACACGCGACACCTCTCTATGCACGTCATTCATCCCTCTAGAACGCACCCGTCACCGTATAAAACTTAATAGAACCAATCGATAGACAGATTCTGTGCACGAGGATAGATAGCTTTCTCAGCACCAGCGGCATTACTCACATGAAGTATCACGTCTCAGAAGCCGGAATGCGCTACGCTACTCTATGCTACTCGTGTACCAGCCCTAGCAAGTATTCGTGGGTTACATTCGATTGCAATTTAATTTACGACCTAGGAGGAGACTATATATAAAGAGATCTTCTCAGCAGATAAGACGAAACCCAGCTTATAAAGAGCTTGGTGCATACATGCTACCTCCTAGTTCATGGGACAATCAATGAACTTGTTGTTAATCATGCGAAAGGGTTCTTGGTCAAAGCATACAGAGTAGCAGGTTAAGCAAAATAGCCCAGACGCCTTCTCACCACTCTACTGCTCCACCGCAACGTAGCTAAATAACTCCAGCACCAAAAGCCCCGCCCCACATCTCTGCTGACTCACCACGCAAAAGAGTCACCGCCTAACTAGCAGCAAGAAAAAAGGCAAAAAGAAAGCACCCGACGCAGGGGTCGAACCTGCAACCTTCAGATTAACCTCTAGATAGAAGTCTGACGCGCTACCATTGCGCCAGCCGGGCCGATGCATGACAAGTCACTCACGGGCTTATCAGCGGGCACTGGGTACACGTGGGGAGGTTGAAGGGGGTTGGGTTGGTTTGGCAGGGCGTTAGAGTGGTGGATGGATTGTAATTAATTTTTGGAGGTCAACGATTAAGTGTCTATGGATGGAGAAACAGAGGCTATCATTATCATTACTACTACTACTACTACTGCAATAAGCTGCGATAGATTCACACATTCAACGCCCGCCACCGTCCGCCCCTCATCAACCGCCATCCCCACGCCGTCAGCGTCACGCACACAATCCCAAAGCTCACCACCATACTCCCACCAAACACGAGTGCATAAATACGCCACTCATCTCCAGCCTTTACCCGCGTCCTGCTGACGGCTATCGCCCACGGCAGCACATACAGCACATTTGCGCCCAGGCTCTGCGCGAGATACCAGCGCAGCCGCGTGGCGAGCAGGATGCTGGCGAGCTGCGTCGACACGCCGTAGAAGATGTAGCACCAGTCGATCGTGCGCCACATGTATGCCGTGATGTCGGCGACGGCGGCGGAGCCCGAGAGGTAGTACGCGAACGGGCGGGCGGTGACGAAGGTCATGAGGAGGCAGAGTGGGACTTCGATGGGGAGGGATATGAGGGCGGCGAGGAGCGCGGGGCGGGTGATGACTGGGAGTGTTAGTGGCGGGAGAGAGGTAGGGGGAGAGGGGCTTACTGAGGATCTCGGCTTTGGTGGCGGGACGCCCGCCAGGGGGGCATGAGGCTTTCCAGGCGCCCCAGGCGTGGCCGACGAAGGTTGACGCGGTGGCTTCGAGGGCGGAGACGGGGACCATCACGAGGCCCCAGCGGATCGTGTTGAAGACGCCCCACGCCGTGGCCCAGTCCTTGCCGAGCTTCACGATGCCGGAGACGAGCCAGAGGTAGAGCGCGTTGCGGATGGCGCTCTCAACGAAGGTGTAAGAGCCAGGGCGGGCAAGGATGCCGAGATAGTGGAGCGACGGCCTTTTTTCGGTATTTGCTGGGGTTTTGGCGGCGATGCGGAGAAAGTAGAAAAGTCCAGTCAGGGAACCCGCAGCATCGCAGCATAGCCGAATCCAGGCTTGGGTGTTGACGTCGACATCGACGTGTTTGACGCGGAAGCTGGAGAGAAAGAGTAAATCCAGTAGAATGTTCACTGTAGTCTTGACCGCACTTATGGTGAGCGGGACATCGGGTCTGCTCCGTCAGCTTGGTCTTCGTTGTCAAAACGGAGCACTCACCTATCCAGCGTCCGGGTGCAGAGACTGACTGAAATATCGAGGGCAGAAAAGAGACATTGAAACGATGCAATGCGTACGTACTGCAAACTCTCGTTTCTGGTCTCGACGGGGACAAACGCCTTTGTCATTTTCGCTGCCGCGCCAAAAATGATGAAGCTCAATATGAGTCCAAGCAAAGTTTGGAATATAATAAGTGTGTACGATATACCGAGCCGCGAGCTCCATGAGCGCCGACTCCGGTCACCGATGACCTTGTACGCTGCACGGGGCAGACCCTCATTGATGACTTCAACAACGACGCCAATATACGTGTAGGTGTCTGTTGTTGCGACGAGGTCGCTGTTGATCCCTGCTACCCAAAGTTTTGAGAGGGTACCATAAACGGCTGGGAGGAGGAAGGTGCCGAGATTGAATAGGAGGGCACCGATGTAACTGTGGACATTAGTGATGGTGGTAACACGTCGCGAGGCGGAGGGAACACAAACCGGTCACGGGACCACCAGCGGCCTTTCGCGTGCCTTTCGCGTGTCGCGTCGGAACTGCCATGGTTGGAGCTATCGCCGTCTGTCTCTAATTCTCCCATGTCTGGTGGAATTGGATGGTAACGAATCCGGGCGTGGCCGACCAGCCTTCTTATGAAGGACATTAAGCTGTGGTATGGGTGGTTGATGGGTGGTGATGAAGTTAAGGTTGTCGTTGCGATCTCGATTCCGTGTGTGACCCCGCAGTCTGATGCCTACTGGAATTAACTGATCCCGGTATTGTTGATGCAGTTGGAAGTTTTAATGGTTAACGGCATGAGACAGTAGTTGCCATTGAGATGCAGAGCTGCAGCCTTCGTCCCGACATTATTTAGAAAACTGATAATAAATCCATATCCTCTTCCTCTTAAGTCGTTTAGCATTTGGCGAAATCATATCTCGTGTTTGTGAATTCGGTTTAAAACTACTGGTATGTCAGTCCCTCGCCTTTCTTATTGTTGGAAACTTCAAGAGTGCTCTACCATAATCAAAACCAACTTCCGTCGCTCACTTTCCAAGACGTCTCTTCAACCTCACCTTCTTATCTTCTTTCCTTCTGGCAGGCAAGGTTTATCCGCCACTTTTCTCAATGCCCCGCACGATTTCTCTTCTTCCTTCCTCTCGTGTCGAAAGTATTACTAGTGATCCACCAAGTTCATACCCATCAAGCTTTCTGCAGACGCCACTATTTTGAAATAACATAATAAGAACTACGAAACTAGAGCTGAGGACCCGTGATCGGCTTTTGCTGCGTAGATTAGACGGTGGGAAAGTTCCGATGTATTTTAGGACGGTATGCCAAGAACACAAAATCGGAGATCTAGCAGATTGTACGTAACTGCGAAGCTGCTTTTGGAAGTTCAGGATGAGTGTGAATCGGATCATGATTTTTGGGTGGGGCTTCAGTTGCTTGGGGGTCAGTTGAAAGTTATGCAGACTGTGTTAGAGAATATCAAGACACATTCTTACCCTGTAACCAGATTGGAGAAAACGATTGCATTTGAAAAACGTAAATTCGATTTGCTTGTCTAAAGTAAGAGTTGAAAGTTTCAAGTGGTGAGAAGAGGGTATTAACAGGAAAGGATGGAATTTAACGGTGAAATTTGGTAAAAGGCTCGACGGGAAACATCGAGTGATAGAACATGCAAAATTGCTTTCACGATTAACAAGAAGTACAAAGGAATCAAGAGACTGGCTCATGATGAAAATTTTCACACTATCTCGCTGAAAACAATACTTATTCAGAGTCTGAACAAAAATATCATCAAAGGCAGGCAAACACACTAGTTAAAATAGAACCCTTTTTACATCTCGGAGTTCCGGATCTCGAGGCTGTACTGTACTGTGGAATTGCACCGTGGTGGAATTTATGGGTTAGGGTAGCGATACCGGTTTCGTGGGAAATGGGGAGCAACTCCAGATTATCTTCCAGCCCCTTCCCTAAACTGTTTGCTTTCCCCGCAATCTCTAGTCTTAATTTCTTTGTTGCATCAGTTGAAACCCGGGTTAAAATAAACTACCTACGACAAGTGTCGAATTAATATGTTGAATCATCGATGTTGAGATTTGCGTTTGGAAGCTAACCTAGATGGATGGTGTAGAGGTCAGTACTCCAAAGGTTGTGGAAGCAATGCTGATGCGTCTAGTCTCTCCCACTTTGTCCGAATATCTCCGAGCTCTCCGTAGATGATATCGTTCTTTACGGAATCGACAGCAGAGGTCGATGCTACAATGGGCAAGATACTGTGAGGAGACAAGGAAGATGTCGGTTCAGTGATAACAATCCATGGACAATGATACGATATTTGTCAAGTTGGATTCGATGATGTATCCATCAGCCCGATTTAAACAGCACGTGTTTTATCTCCGGATTTCGGAGGCTATCGATAAAAGAAGTGACAAATGATAGTAGTCAATATCAAACATAAGCCACTCTCTTTAAAATTAACGCTGATAGTGGTCAGGTAATACCGATCGATGTGTAGCTGTCCATTAAGTCCGGGACAGAATATCGCATGTGGACATTAGTTGAACATTGAAGCCGGAGGTATTCCTCCTTTTGACCTTCTTTCATAGCATCTCGTACTGATGTTGACCGAAAGTTTAAGACAGTGAGCATTTAGTTTACAACCCACAAGCAAGGTAATCTAAAACAATTTCTTTCCATGGATGTGAGCAGGGAGCTGACGGGTACTGTCTGAGATATCGAACCAGCCCCAAAACGGTCGAACCAGAAAACCTTTTTATCATGTCAGCAGCCGACGCACTTTTTTTTATGCCACCTCGCTTGTACTAGGGCGAAGCTTGAACCATCACTATATATACGCCACAGATCTGAGGGCAACTAGACGCAACGGCTTCTTACAGTATGATTGAAACACTGGCTTACATGCTTGCTGCACACTACAAACTTTGTCGTTGGTGAAGATCTTCACCGAGGCCGCGTGGAAAACGCAGATCTGTGGATTGTCTCATCCCAGCGGCTATTTATTTTAGCCTTAGGAAGAGCCCCGATGAAAATTATTGAAAAAGCAATGCAGTGCTGTTTGAAGCTACAAAGCTTGTGAAAAAGCTTGTTTCGCCCAGCTTCATACACATGCCGACTCTGGGTACACCGCTGCCGCAAATGTTGCACCAAATCAACGTGCTTGTGGAACTCAGGCATTACCGTGTCTGCCCCTAGGGATAGAATTCTGAAGAGCGAATGGGATTCTCGAGCGTGATACGTGGTGTTTTAAGAGGTTCTTGAGGCGCATGAAAGTTGATCCGTGCGCGCGGCTATGGGAAGGAGGTTGTGGAGAAGTCCAGGAAACACCCTGTTACGTCACGGGGTTTGATGACACGGCCATTCGAATAAGAAAACGGCACAAGGGTTTGCGCTGCAGCATAGCCACAGTATATGTCAGACGGAGCGTTGACGGCCCGGATTTCGGTCGGGTACTGCAAGGAGATAGGCGATCAACTCTCGGGCGTCTAGACCCGAGCCCTTATTCGACAAGTATCAACAGCTTTCATGATTAGATGCTTCTGCAAATTTTCAGTGTCAACGGTCATAACTCATCATTTTTATTTTTGATCATGATGATGAGGAGCAGAAGCTTTGGAATGGGTGACACGTTTGTCTCTACGACGATTTTATTTTCAACGTAGCCTATGGTAATTCATGTTACCGATGGTTTCGGTTAGTAAAAGTTGATCGACATAGATTTCCTTTCCCATTTTATTTGTTT